TTCTTATTCGTTTTATTCGTTTATAAACTGTCAATATAATTCGAATACTCGTATTCATAATAATAATAATAATAATAATAAAACAAATAATTCGAATAAACATTATTCTAATAGAAACCCCCCATTAATAGTGAACCATTAAATAATATTAATAACAACAGTATTAATAATAATATCGGAAAGCTTAGTACTACATGAGATCAACTGACTTGGTAAAAACAACCGATTTTTTGTGAATTCGTAAAAAGTATGTTATTTGTCAGTAAATATTTGATAAAAAAATTATCCAAGTTCTAGCCGACTCAGAGTTGTTTGGCTTAGCTGGCTAAGGTTTTTACATTACTATGTTAGTGTGTAGCCATGTACAACAATAATCTGTAGTTTTTCTTTTCTTATTATAAATAAACCTATTCATTAAAAAAATTTTCTACTTTAGATTTATATATATATACACAAAACGTGATTTAAAGTTTGTAGAACATCGAAATTCTTCTATATATGAAAAATTATTACTGAAATTGGTATTATTACCCGATCTCATTGCATTTTTTCAAGTGTTAAAATAAGTTTATTTGGACGTATCACACACATTAATTTATGATAGAGTATTGGGTATAATCCTAAATTTTTTTTTGTGTTTGCACAATTTGCATAATCTGTGATTTTAGATGTGTAACCAAAAAGTATAAAGTTTTCCCGTTACTCCAAAATTATTTTGTTGACTTTTACTAGAGAATCAACCATTTTAAATCCAAAAGACGATTTTCCCTTAAAAGAAGACAATCATCAGCTCCATTAATATAACGAGCACTCACAACATACTCAATTTTCTTCCATGAACGTGAGCAAATAAAGTTTGTGCACCTACTCAGGCAGACAATTCCTCTCGAGAAAATTAGTGCATTAAAACAAATATGACGCAATTTTTGGATCAACTCAAAGTAGAAACAGTAATGAGTCGGAAATATTAAAAGTAATCTCAGGCTTAATTGATCAAAGGATAAGTATTACAGCAGATGATTGTGGATGTGCTGCTGGAAATGATTTTTTTAGTCTTGGTGAATTTACTAAATCAGCTGGGCCAAGTGTCCATGTCACTGAGTCATTCCGGACGTAAAAATGAGTGTCAAGGGAAATTTTTTATAATCATCTTAGCCGGCTCACATTACTACACTAAACTTCTTGTGTGTGATAAAAGTCGGGAGCACTTTTAAATAAAAAATTCGCCCCAAAATTTTTTCCAAAATATTTAATTGAACTTGATAGTCATGCGTAAGATTTTAACACTTGATAATAAATGTATTGAATAAGTATCTATGTTGTTTTGAATCTTTTTGTAAACAAGCACCATTTTTAAACTCAAAACGTCAGTCTTAAATGAAAGTCAACATCGGTTTATAAAAATTTGCTGATGCCCATAGAAAAGCAGTGACTCGTACTATTCAAGGAGAATCGAAGCGGCTATCGAAAAATAATGAACGGTCAACGAAATATTGAGTCAGTTGTCATATATAATTTGGACCTAAGTTGCAAAATAAGTCAAGTATGTTTTTATGCAATTTTTGTTTAAATTAGCAATCAGAATTTTGTATCCAAACTCACACACCCTAAAATTTAATTGACAACAACGAATAAAACATTGAAAATGCTTACTCCATACAAATTGACGGTCTTGCAGTATCAGTTGGTCTGCATAAAAAGATCAATAGCAATAATGAAGATAGAATTAGTGAAGAATGGTCACATGTTGATTTGAATGGATGCAGAATATTAAGGAAAGGTTTGTTTGTAGCAAATAAAAAAAAAGTCGTGAGCACTGAAACTTGGCAGTGTTTACTCGTGCTCGTAAAAAACGTTATTAATGGTGAGCTGTACTTGTTAATTTAATTTACCGTACTTCCTCGGTATGATGGTTTAATAAGAGTCAAAAAACTGGTCTATGGAGAAGGAGGGACCTGATCCGTTTATAAGGGAGATTAACCGGAGCCTATCGGTCAATTTGGAAACAGAAATAATACCGGTAAAAAATCCAGCGCAAGCGTATCTCATATTACACAACTAGACTTTCCAAACTTTCAAGATTAATCTATCTATCTGCTGCCATTTTAGTTGTGGCAGTAGCAGCAACGATGACTTTTTATGAAGCCACAATTAGATATAAGGAGGATTTGGATCTTCCTGATTTAGTGTTGATAAATATGGTTTTTGCTTGTTATTAAAATATTTATATTTAATATCATATATTTAATTTTTACAATAATAAGATTTAATTTTTGAAATATTTATAAATAATAAAATAGATAGAAGTAAATAAAGGATAATAACAATAAATTTATATAATATTTATATATTTATCAAATTAATTAATTATGACTGATTAAAGGAATATGTTGATGTAGATGAAACTTTTCCAGGGTCCAGTCATAACGTAATTAATTGTCATCAGTCATCACTTCTAACAATTCTAATAATTAAAATGGATAGATGGATGGGGTGGAATTGAGAAGAGAAGTTATGGAATTTTGAGAGATTGAAAACAATTACAAAAGAAAGTATTTAAAAAAAAAAAAAAAAGGTAAAGAGGGAATTAAATATATATATATATATATATTAATTAAATAATTAAATAAGTCTAAATTCTATTTATTTTTTTATAATAAATAAATAAATAAATAAAATAAATCATATACAATAATGATATATTATAAGTGAGTGAAAGTCCGTTAAATATCTTCCCGAAAAAAATATAATATATATACATATACATACATACATACATACATATATATATATATATACACATACACATAAATATATTAATACGTGTCAGGTAAGATATTATCAGGACCACGATATATAGCCATTAAATTCGCAGCAATCAAAATCAAAAGGAATTTAGCCCATCTCCAAATTAATCTAAAGAATGAGTAAATGCTTCTTGCCCATCTTTTCCAAAACCATTCTCTTATTAAATTTATTTTATCTTCATCAAATTCATCCAAGAAGACAAAATCATCGCTTAGTAATGACATACTATCATCAAAGAAGAAGCTTTTCTCTGATGTGGGTGAAAATGATGGCGGTGATTCAAAAACTCCCTCAATTGGTTTGTGATAATCAAAAGTACGACGAAATTCATCTTCCAATTCTGAAAGCAAAGTCCTTTTAATTTTTCCTCCTAGTCCACCGCCAGGGCTAGGCGGGGCAGCACCAAATAATGATCTATCAGGATTACTTAATCTTCTTAAAGTGTTGGAAATTTGATGCTCAGAGAAAGAATTTGATCTTGAGGCAAACCTTGAGGTTGCTCTTGAATATGGCATTCCTGATTTCATGCTGACAACTCTTGAACGTTCGTACTCTAAAGATTCTGATAAATCATTGATTAACTCTGTTTGTTGACGACATTGCATTTGTAGGATTTCATAGTTTTGTGAATCGTTAGCCAACTGATTACATTGTTCCTGCAAAAGATCTAATTCATTCGTGACCATAGACAATTTTCTTTCGGTTTCAGACTTTTTCTTCTCGATATGATGATTTTGTTCTTCCAATTCTGCCACTTTATTCACCAAAGCTTCAATGAAGGCGTCATTTTTCGAAGTTTTCTTGTCGTATTTTAATTGCCAAAAATCAGACTTTTGTTTTTGGAGCAAATTTTCAGTTTGTTTTTCAAGATCCTCGATTTTCAGAGTGGCCTGAGAATAACGATCTTGATAATGTTTTAAGTCGGATTCGATTTTACGTATTTTCGTTTTATTAACTTTGTCTGTATCGGTAAATTCTCTCATGACTTCATCAAGTCTTGCTTGAAGATCTTGGTTTCTTGTTTCCAATTCTTTAATCACCTCGACTTCTTTATATGTTAATTGTTGGTTGTTATTATTGTAATTATTATTATTGTGTCTTTTTCTGATTGGAGATACAAGTGATGATGAATAATCATATGAACTGTTTATTGATTCAGTATCACTATTATTATCACTTTCATAAGGATCTTCGAAAGGATAATCCATATTGTTTGGTGGAGCTATTGGTATACCATGTCGCATAGTAGCCATTGCTTCCCTTTGTCTTTGTTTTTCTAAACTTTGATATTGAGTAACCAAACCTTCATATTTGGCTTTTAATGCCATGTTATTTTCCAATAAACTTTTCCCAATTTCTGCTGCCAAGGTAAGATCTTTTTTTTTTTTTTTTTTTTAAAAAAAATCAATTTAATATTTTTTTTTTTTTTTTATATATTATTTTCACAAAAAAAAAAAACAAAAACAATTACCTCTTTCTTTTTCTTTAATGACATTGTATGCTTCTTTTAATAAAGAGGTAAGCTCAGCTTGAGATTTATTTACATTC